CACTGTTAGTGCAGTCAAAGATCTGCAGTTCTTCTGGCTCTGAGCCTATAACATGCCAAAACCCCATATGTTCTTTACTCATGACAACACAACACACACTTCAGCCCAGAGAGAGGCACCTGCTGTGATGGAGGCCCGAGATGCTCTCATTTTCTGGTTTTCTAGCATCTTTTTGGTTTAAATCTGCTTTCTCTCTCTGCCTTTACTCACTGCTTTCTCTTAAAGGGAGAGTTCAACCACAAATGAAAATTCTGTCATTATTTACTCATCTAATGCCATTCCAAATCTGCATGCTGTTATTGTTTAGAACAAAAAAGTGGAAATTTAGAAGAATCTGTTCCATACAATGAGAGATAATAATGACCACATCTGTCAAGCTCCAATAAGGACAAAAACACCATAAATGAATCATAAAACTAGTCTATATGACTTGTGGGCTGAAGTTTAGTAAAAGTTTGCTTTTGAAATAAGTCTCTTCAAGGCTGCATTTATTTGATCAAAAATACAGTAAAAAGAGTAATATTGTGAAACATTATTACAATTTAAAATAGCCACTTTCAATTGTAACACATTTTAAAATGTCATTTATTCCTGTGATGCAAAGCTGAATTTTCAGCATCATTACTCCAGTCTTCAGTGTGTCACATGAACCTTCAGAAATCATTCTGATTATTGATGTTGAAAACAGTTCATATTTTTATAGAAACCATGACACATTCTTTGATGAATAGAAAATGCATATAATAGCTTTGTGTATTGGCATGTTGCTAACATGATACTCTAATAAGCATAAAAATGCACAGCACACAAAAATATGGGTAACATATTTATACATTTTAGTAGTGAATATTTATAGTTTTTATACATTATACATTTTTATATATTTTTCTTGCTTCTTTATTTTCAACCTAAATCCATTGGTATATAGATTGAATTTGCAGGTTGTTTTAGAATTGAATTGTCTGGAGTTTTTTAAGTTGGTTAGGTTGTTTTTTAAGTTGTTTTAACAGGGAAACAATTAGTAGCTGTACCCAGTGTTATTTTAGTATATTTATAGTTTTTTTCTTATAAATATTTTGAATTAGCTTGTATATTTTCAGTGTTCATTTTAATTTTAATGTTTAATAATTGTAATATGTGCTTTTGTTATTTTTATTATTTTTTGTTCTTTTGAAAATATTACTATTTATGTTTTTATTTCCGTTTTAGTTTAGCTCTAGTTTTTATTTATTTCCAGTTAATAATTACAGTCCTTCAACTTAAACTTTTAGAATATATATATATATATATATATATATATGTATATATATATATGTGTGTTTTAATTTTTTTACTTTATTTCTGATCAAATAAATGCATTTATTGGTTGAAAAATACAGTAAAATTGTGAAATATTATTAGAATTCAAAATGTCTGTTTTCTATTGGAATACATTTGAAAATGTAATTTATTTCTGTAATGTAATCAGTCTTCAGTGTCACATGATCCTTCAGAAATTATTCTAATATGCTGATTTGCTGCTCAAGAAACATTTCTTATTAGAATCAATGTTGAAAACAGTTGTCATACATAATATTTTTGTGGAAACCGTGATACATTTTTTAATCCTTGCTGAATGAGAGTATTCATTTATTTAAAATCATACTGACCCCAAACATGTGAACGGTTTTGTGTGCTTAATATTTCAACTACAGCATTATGCTTAATTAATCCTCGCATACCTGCTGTTTGATATCTGAGAGGGTCTTTTTCATGGTCTTCTCTCATTAGTGATGACCACTGTTAGTGCAGTCAAAGATCTGCAGTTCTTCTGGCTCTGAGCCTATAACATGCCAAAACCCCATATGTTCTTTACTCATGACAACACAACACACACTTCAGCCCAGAGAGAGGCACCTGCTGTGATGGAGGCCCGAGATGCTCTCATTTTCTGGTTTTCTAGCATCTTTTTGGTTTAAATCTGCTTTCTCTCTCTGCCTTTACTCACTGCTTTCTCTTAAAGGGAGAGTTCAACCACAAATGAAAATTCTGTCATTATTTACTCATCTAATGCCATTCCAAATCTGCATGCTGTTATTGTTTAGAACAAAAAAGTGGAAATTTAGAAGAATCTGTTCCATACAATGAGAGATAATAATGACCACATCTGTCAAGCTCCAATAAGGACAAAAACACCATAAATGAATCATAAAACTAGTCTATATGACTTGTGGGCTGAAGTTTAGTAAAAGTTTGCTTTTGAAATAAGTCTCTTCAAGGCTGCATTTATTTGATCAAAAATACAGTAAAAAGAGTAATATTGTGAAACATTATTACAATTTAAAATAGCCACTTTCAATTGTAACACATTTTAAAATGTCATTTATTCCTGTGATGCAAAGCTGAATTTTCAGCATCATTACTCCAGTCTTCAGTGTGTCACATGAACCTTCAGAAATCATTCTGATTATTGATGTTGAAAACAGTTCATATTTTTATAGAAACCATGACACATTCTTTGATGAATAGAAAATGCATATAATAGCTTTGTGTATTGGCATGTTGCTAACATGATACTCTAATAAGCATAAAAATGCACAGCACACAAAAATATGGGTAACATATTTATACATTTTAGTAGTGAATATTTATAGTTTTTATACATTATACATTTTTATATATTTTTCTTGCTTCTTTATTTTCAACCTAAATCCATTGGTATATAGATTGAATTTGCAGGTTGTTTTAGAATTGAATTGTCTGGAGTTTTTTAAGTTGGTTAGGTTGTTTTTTAAGTTGTTTTAACAGGGAAACAATTAGTAGCTGTACCCAGTGTTATTTTAGTATATTTATAGTTTTTTTCTTATAAATATTTTGAATTAGCTTGTATATTTTCAGTGTTCATTTTAATTTTAATGTTTAATAATTGTAATATGTGCTTTTGTTATTTTTATTATTTTTTGTTCTTTTGAAAATATTACTATTTATGTTTTTATTTCCGTTTTAGTTTAGCTCTAGTTTTTATTTATTTCCAGTTAATAATTACAGTCCTTCAACTTAAACTTTTAGAATATATATATATATATATATATATATATGTATATATATATATGTGTGTTTTAATTTTTTCACATAATATTTATATTTAATTTTATTCCATATTAATTTAAAGTTTAAAAAATATATATTTTGATAGTTTTAGTTTAAGTTTTAACTATAATAACTTTGGCTGTACAACATTGAATTGGTCTTATTAGCAGCTCATGGATCATAATGTAAATTATGTACATTAAATAGTAATGTACATACTGGTAAAAAATGTATAGCCTGAATGCACTGTAAGTCGCTTTGGATAAAAGCGTCTGCTAAATGCATAAATTATTATTAATTATTATAATGTGAGTGATGTAGTTTTGTGTAGATGCGGTGTGTGTGTGTGTTTTAAAGAGCGTAATGGAGATGTTAATGACTCCTGTAAAAGCAGAGCTGTTATAGTAATAACTCTCTCTTTCTTTACTGCTCTTCCTCTGCCCTCAACAGGGCAGTTTTTTTCATTTCACTGGCTCTTCACACTCTATAGTGTCTAATGGAATTCAGCCTGCCAGTGTCTTTAGACCCAAGTTAAAGTCTACCTTGACTACCCACACTGTCCTTAAAACATCCTGTTCAAGTTTACAAACCTCACAGAGAAAGAGATATTGTCAAGGGAATCTCATAAAACCTGCATTACATTTTTAGTTTTATTTGGTATTGTATCATTACTGTAGTGTATCAGGACATTTTACTTTTGAGGGTTTTTTTAACTGCTCATTGGGATACTCATTAATCCATGGTGATCCTCATTATTTATCAAAAAATACTGCATTATATTACATTTACATTTAATCATTTAGCAGATGCTTTTATCCAAAGTGACTTACAAATGAGCAATACAACAAGCAATTTGTCATAAAATTATAAATATAAAAATAGATTTTAATAATGAAAAAAAGGTTTTATTCTAAATATTCATAATTTAAAGACAATATAGCAAACACTTTACAGTGAGTAAAGTTGGTTAACATTGGTTGACTACATCTACAGCATTTATTAAGCTTAATGTTAAATTCAACATTTACTGACACATTACTAAAATCAAAAGGTGCATCTGTTAATATTATTTAATACACCTGAGCTAACATGAACTAAAAATGAACAGTTGAATTTTTTATTAACTAACTTTAACAAATATTAATGAATACTGTAACAAATGAATTGCTCATTGTTAGTTCATTTTAGTTAATGGATTAACTAAAGTTAAATAATGGGACCTTATTGTAACGTGTTACCAAACTATCTCTTGATGAATAAATAAGTAGTTTTATTTTCTTCTTTTAATACATTATTATTGTTGTTGTTGTTATGTATGTATGAATTTATTTATTTAAAATTTTTCTCCTCCCACTGAATTTTGGAGTAAAATATGGCTTGGACATATGTTGGCATTAATTGTGATGCCGTTAAGCTGTTAACAGACCATCCTAACACATTCTTTAGAAGGAATAAAGCCTACGGTATATGTGACCTGTATAATCGCATTACTATATTTTACTTCAAATAGATCATATGCGAACCATAGCAACCATTAGAAAACGCAAGGTTCAAGTGTTTTTTTCACATACATGTGCATGCTAGCTGTTGCAGTTTGTGTGTCTGTGTGCATATGTGTGTTTTGTGGAGGCGGGGTGTATACAATGCTATTGGGGCAGGGAAGGGGTGTGTGGGGGTGAAAGTGTGGGCCCTCTGTCATTGGCTCTGGGCCTAATGTCACATTATGCATCTCATTGTGTCTTTGTGATGCTGAGGAGTATAAATACAGTCCTCCCAGTGTCCACACACACTCATTCCTTCTGCAGACCAACAAACTGAATCCTCAGAGAAAGAAGCTGCATTTTAGGTTGACTTTTTAAACTTTGAGCAAGTGGATTGTTCTTGAGAAGACTGCAAGTTCTCAACCAAGACTTCTCGGAAACAATTTTAAGATGGATTCTGATGCAAGTTCCACATGCAGTCGGTCTTCTTCACCCGAGCTGGCTGTGGACTCCAGCTTTTTCTCCAACAAAGTGTTTCAAGCTTACTGCACAGATAGAGAAACGGGGCAGCCCAGGTCTGAAAAACCATCACAGAACACCGGATCCGACAGAAAGAGCCGCGCACGGGCCGATCTCTGCAAAGACGACATGCAAGATCTACGACTCAAAGTGAACGGCCGTGAGCGCAAACGCATGCATGACCTCAACCAGGCCATGGATGGGCTTCGAGAGGTGATGCCCTATGCACAGGGCCCATCCGTACGCAAGCTGTCCAAAATCTCCACCCTGGTTCTCGCCAGAAACTACATCCTGATGCTGTCCAGCTCTCTGGAGGAGATGAAGAAGCTAGTAGGTGATGTTTATGGAACCAGTGGTCAGAGTCACTCGGCTAGACGGGTTCTACCCCCAACTTCGGCTGCTCCAGCATCCCAGTTACAGCTGCTTTCACTTGGTCCGTCTCTGCACTCTCTGGTGGGCAGCACTTCCCAGCACACCATCATGCCGACATTGGGCCAAGCCCCTCATTCTCCACCCTTGGCTGGGTATCTGGGTTTCCCTGCTCCACCTCTTCCCACCCTGTTGAAAGACCCTCTGCATCTCTCCAGCGGCTACAGGCATTTTCCTGGCATGCCTTGCCCCTGCTCCCTTTGCCAGCCTCTCCCTGCTTCCACAGCCAGCCTGCACAGCCTCTCCATGGGGAAGTGATTCAGGCGAGGGCCAGGCTCCAGGCTGGAGAAGGCCGAATTTAAAATACGGACTCGAAAAGAACTGAAAACATCTGGGTGTGTTGCTAGATGTGTTGTATACTTTGTAAATGTCATGTACAGAATTTCTTTTCTAACAAGCTGCTGCTATTTTTGTATCAAATAATGTTTTTTACTGTTGTAGCGTTTTTGAATATGAACATATGTGCTTGTATGTTCTTTGTAGCAAAATGGCAATTGAAAACGTGTAGTTTTGTTTCTTAAATTAAACATCTATTATTGTAATAAAAAAAAATCCAGATTTTTCAGTGTCTTCATTTGATCAATTAAACAATCTTTCATTTTTCAAAGAAGTGCACCTAGTAATTTAAGGTATTTGAGAGAAACTTTTAGCAAAAGAGACTTAAAAGAGCATTCAAGCTCAAACCCATGACCTTGGGGTTGCAAGCATCACACTTTACTATTTTAGATATAGGAATATTAGGAATATTTGCTGATCTGTTTACTTAAGTTCAACACTATCAAAGCATTTTTTTTTAAAATCGCAATCAATTTGACAAAATATATTCTAAAGAAAATGTAAAGATTACATAGAGGATTATAAAATTAAAATGCTAAAATTGTAATAATCTTTAGAAAAGATATATTTAGAAAAAGATGATTAAGCATCCCCCAAAATGTTTTGTTTTGCAACTGAAAACATTTTACTTAGGGGAGATTTTTAACCCTGTTCATAATTGTATGATTATTTATTTATTTATTCTGGTGAAGGTCAATGGAGATATAAAATAAACATTTTTAAAACGTTTTATTTAACGTTTATTGTTTTAAAAAAGTTACATTGCCATGGTGTCATTGCAAATAGGAAATGTATTAATTTATTCTTCGAACAAATACAATTGAAAAACAACTTTTTTTAGTTGAAGGAATTGTTGGAAATCTATTAAATAATTCAAGCACAATTACTAAATATGAATTAAAAATATCTTACAACCCATATTAATTTAAATAAAGCTAAATTAAATATGAAATAATGAGGTGCTAAAATAAAAAAAATGGCAGCTGCTCATCTGTTCTTAAATCATCTGTCAGTGTTTATGTGCGTCAATGTGTTTCATGATATATATGAATATAAAATGAGTCCATATGCTTTCATCCAGCACCATTACTGCAATATTGCCCACACCGTGTTTATGTTTTTAGCATATGCTAACAAACACAGGCATCATTTCTGCCCGCTATAAAATGCTGCCTTTGGACTGAACCATCTGTACCGAGACTAGTTAATGTATGAAAAAGAAAGGCAGCCAGACCGCTCGGAGCCCGGGGCCTAGTCTCACCCATCAATCAGGGAGCGAGAGACGCAAGCTGTCACCAGGTTGGCGCGTCAGCATTGTGCAGCACACGCAGGGGACGGCCAGTGCTTCTTTTCATGTTAGTGCAGGAAGATTTGTCACTGTCCAATAAAGCTGTGATCATATTCAGGCCGTCCTCACTGGGAGTCGTTTTCATGAGAGGCTCTGACAGCTGCGCACACCATCATTTGTTAGCTGGAAAGATCATTTGACTTTTCAGACTTTCTAATATGACCAATAGTTGGAGACGAAGGTGTAAAATATTAGGCACAAAGGCATCAGAAATGAACCAGGGCTCAGAGTAAAAATGACTAAATGCACTTGATATTTATGATGTGGTAGTAAATTCCACTGTTTTTGTTTTTAAAGAAATGAATACTTTTATTCAGTAAATGCATTAAATGGATCAAAAGTGACAGTTTACAATGTTACAAATGTTTCTATTTCAAATAAATGCTGCTTTTTTGAACTTTCTATTCATGAAAGAATCCTGAAAAAAAAAAAATGTATATCAGTTTCCACAAAAATATTGAGCAGCACAACTGATTTCAACACTGGTAATAGTAAGATTTTTTTTTTTTTTTTGAAGGAACATTTTTTATATATTCAAATAGAAAGCAGTTATCATAAATTTCAATAATATTTCACAATATTACTGTTTTTATGTGATCAAATAAATGCAGTCTTGATGAGCAGAAGACACTTATTTAAACATTAAAAAAATCACACAGTTTTAGTTTGTTTTTACAAACCGAGGGAACATTATTTTCTGTGTTAATCAACCACATGACACAGATTCTGCCGACAGCAATACAGAACACTTTAAATCTCCTTTGAAATATCAATTATTTAATGTTAACTTTTTATCTTTTATCATAATCAAATACATCACTGTAGGAGTGGATCTTAGGCTCTTTGCATGGTAAAATCACACAGCCTTGAGTGGCTTCTTTGCTTTAACACACCATGGTACAACACAAATAAAGCTCCAAAGAACCATTTTTCTTCGTGTGAAGTACATTTAAAAAATCTGAAGTACTTTTTTCCACTACAAAGAACCTTCTGTGGAATGGAAATGTTCCATTAAACGTTCATCATGGAACCATCAATGCAAATAAAGAGCCTTTAAGAGTGCGTTTTTTTTCATTCTAGTGCCAGGATGCAAAATGGATGCAAAATGCTGCAATCCAATGTGTTTTGTACTTGAAATCTTCACTTGTGCAAAATCCTTTTATACACACACGCACACAGTTTGAGACTGTATTTCTCAAGAGCTAAATCAAGCGTGAAAAATACACATTTCTCCTCACAGGAATCCCGGGCCGACAACTGAAAGATCAGAGGAGAGATGAAGAGATGTGTCTCCTCTCCTCCTCTGCTTTCCTCCCTCTCTCTCTCACCCTAAATGGAGGAAGACAATAGCACTCGCTCCGAGCACAAAGAGAGGGCACAGGGGGCAGCCCGTAACACAGCCCCTTCTTTTTGTGTTTTTTTTCTTGATGCGTTAACCGGCCTGGTCGGCCTGCAGAGGGCCCTGACACTCCAACAGCAGCACAAAGGCCCTTAGCTCCTTATTTATGAGCCCATTGACAGCGCTAAAGAGCTCCTGTCAGGGGCCTGCTCGCAGTCAGCTGGTGAACATCCCAGCGGGGGGAGGCAGCTGCCATCCTGCCCGGAGAAGAAGCTCCCTCTGCGGGTCCCTGTGTCCCTGCGGCCCCCCTGAGTCGGGCCCCCCCCTCCGGGTCCCAGGCACAGGTGGGTATGGGAAGCTGAACACATTGTGGGGATTACTGGGAGCTGTGGCCTGGCCTGCTGCACAGGGATAATTAGACACATTGACTTGTGCAAAGCTGGTGTTTCCTGATTGGGGGCAGATGGTAACGGTCCATAGAGAGATAACAGCAGGGGATGTATCTGTATGTGAATGCTTGTTAGGGAAAGGTAGAGACACATAGGCAAGCATATGAACAAATGTAGTTTTTTTTTCTAATATTAAAAAAAAAAAAAAAAAAGTCTCTTATGCCAGGCACCGCAATATCACTTTAAAAAAAAAAAAATGTATTAAAGCAATCAAAAATAAAAACAGCAAGACAGTAATATTGTAAAATATTATTGCAATTTTAAATGTTTTATACGTATATTTTTTTACCATCGTTTTTTTGCGCACCATATTTTTTATCAATACATTTATTTCTCAATTTTACTGTTATTAAATTTTACTGTTATTTTTTTGTTGCTTTTTTTATTAAAGCAATCAAAAATAAAAACAGCAAAACAGTAATATTGTAAAATATTTTTGCAATTTTAAATGTTTTATACATATTTTTTACCATAGTTTTTTTGTGCACCATATTTTTTTATCAAAATATTTACTTGTTTAAAAATACAGTAACAACAGAAAAATTGTGAAATAGTAATACATTTAAAATAAATGTATATAAGCACAGATTTTCAGTATGATTTTTAAAAATGTTTTTCTAATGTTTTTGAAAGAAGTCTCATGCTCAACAAGGCTGCATGCAGCATGCAATGTTGTTGTTTTTTGATGTATTTTTGATCAAATAAAAGCATCTATTTCCTAAAATACAGTAAAAACAGCAACATTTTAAAATACTATTACAAGTTTGAAATAACTTGTATATATACACAGATTTTCTGTTAAAAAAATCTGTTTTTTTTTTTCTTTTATAAAGTATTATGGTTACCAAGGCTGCATGCAGCAAGCAATTTTATTATTTATAACTCAAATTTGAAATAACTTGTATATATACACAGATTTTCTGTTAAAAAAATCTGTTTTTTTTTTCTTTTATAAAGTATTATGGTTACCAAGGCTGCATGCAGCAAGCAATTTTATTATTTATAACTCAATTTTTGACCAAATAAATGTTTTTTTTTTAAATATAGTTTAAATATAGTTAAATATAGTTCAGAAATCATTCTAATATGCTGATTTGATTTCTTATTATCATCAATGTTGAAAATAATATATATATATTCAGATTTTTCCATTTTTTAATTGACCCTTTTTTCATAGTGTATTAACTGTATTAAATCTGTCTGAGATTGAACCATCCAGCCTGTAAGTGGTTACATGAAATCTCATTCTCTCTTTTTGTGTTTTTGTGCCTGATGATACTTCTGCAATCTGTTCTGAATGTGAGATAGCGGGATCATCTAATCAATACATGAAAACACCTTCTGCGGCCTCAGATTCAGACTGACAGAGTTAATTAGGGAACCAAAGGTCCCAATTAGTGGGATTGGGGAGCATTTGGGGACATATTGTGGAACACACGCACATATTGCTCAGGGAGGCTTCAATCAAGAGAGATGCAGCTCTCAGTCGACGGCAACGCTGACCCGGTGACATCCTGTTAAACCTCACTTCCTGTCAGCCGCTCAAGGCTCAATGACAAGCTAAACACAGCTGGGACGGGGGTCACACATGTATATAATGTGAGGGGTCCGGGGCCTCAGGTGTGTAGTTAAGCACTCCCATTAGGACTCAATCCATATGGGCTGTTCTGAATTCTAATGAGGTGATAAACTCCTCGTGTCAATTCCATTATGAGCAAATTCATTTCTTGATTATGTGTAACAGAGTGACGAGACAAACTCTCTCCCATGAGATTTTATGCCATTTATGATTTTTTTTTTTCAGTCCTCTAAACTATGAGACAGCTAGGTAAGATCCTGATTTTAACCAAATGAAGCTTAACCAAAATTCTGGTAAATGTAACATTTCAACATACTTTTAAAAAAGAAGAAACAAAGAGAAAAACAGTTTGAATCTATTATATATCTTTTTAAAACTAGAATGTTTTTTTTTGCTCATCATCCTAGAAGACAGAAAAATGACTATAAATGAAAAGCACCCATATATTTCTTTCTTTCTAAACCTTCTGAATGCAAAATATTATATTATATAAATATATATATAATTATTATATAAATTATAAATTATACATCTTTCTTTCTTTCTTTCTTTCTTTCTTTCCATACAAATTAGTCTATTGTTGTGTGTGATTATTGCTTTTGGTGGCCCCTACAGGCCGTCAGTGTAATGACAGGCGTTTTCGCGTTTCATCACAAATCTTGATCTTTTGCGGTTGCCTTACTACGCAGTTACGTGAAAAATATTTTAACAAACGAATTCACGCTCACTTTTTCCCTTTGTAGCGCAAATTACTGATTTATATATCTCTCTTAAAATCATTAATAAATTATACTCACTTTATCTAATGCAGTGTTTATGAGTTTTATTTGGACGCGCTGGTGAGGTCAGAGTTCGGCTGTGAGTGAAGCACGAGCGGCGGTTGAATGGCGTCGTTGGCGTGGGGAGATACTTTGGATGGCGACAATGATCAAGACATGGATTTTCAGGAAGTAAGATACAGTAAAAGGAAAAAAAAAAGAGTAGCATGGGTGATGGATCTGATTGTGAGCAAACAATTAATAAAGTAAGACATACGAGAATTGAAGCTGATAAAGAGGTTGAAGAAAGAGAAATCAAAGTGATAATTACTTTTGCTAAGCAGTCAGAACAACAAACTCATCCTGTTAAACTGTCAAAAGCAATTGAGAAAGAGATAGGGATAGTGAAAGCTGGAGGAAGGGAAAATAGCCAGAACGAATAAAGAAAAGACAGAAGTCTCAGCCAAAACTTTTGCTAAAGTTCACGGTGTTGAAAACTTCAATGATAAGTTTTTAAAAAGAAGACAAGAGTTAAGTAAAATATATGAGAATGTTCGTATGAAAAAACAAGGAGTTGATAGTAATATGGATGAGGATTTTAATTCTTTTGAGTTAAAAATAGGAACAGAAATGTTTTTGTCTGCTCAGTCTGAAAGTGAATCATGAACAAAAATACATGTTGCAGCCATCGTTATTAATAGTAATATTCATATAAACCCATCCCATATCAAAATTAAAAAGATTGTGTATATGACAGTAAAGGGATGAAATGGCATGGTCAGATACTAAAATTAAGGATTCATAAAGCTCGGATGTCACAGATTGTTCCAGACTGCCGAGCTGGAGCGATCAAACTATTCACACACATTATGATTTATTGATGTTTGATTGATTGAGTCATTCCTATGCTGTACTTTTTAATATCTGTAACAAATATGTCGTGGATTAAATCTAATAAAAAAGTTTTTAGATATTTTTTTAATCACGGCGATGTAACTTTCTGTTTATTTTCTTGATATTGTGTAAAAATTCACGTTGTTATTAATGAAGTTTAAGTGCCTGAGTTTGACCAGAGGATATGTCTATACATCCTTAAATTACAACACAAGCTTATTCATATTTAAGGTTATAGAGTTCTAAGGATACTGCATAACAGGAATTACCCATATGTATCATGTGTGATGGTTATTAATGATTTGAATCATGTGTGATGATCGCAGGGAAGGAGGATGGTGGGGAGGCTGGCTGACACAGAGCTTCCAGGCCGTCAAAGACAAGGTGAGACAAATCCAGATCAGATCCAGTGTGGACTTACCATATGGATAATGCTGAAATGTTTTAGGAATCTCTCAGCAGTGTGTTTGGGGAAAAGCAATGATTGATCTGTGCTTTCAAGCAGTGGTAGAATTTTTGATACCACTAGTTAGATGCTTCTGTTTTGCATTCTTTTATAATTTAATAAAAAATGATTTATTCACACATTATATAAATTTAGTAGTTGAACTGAAAAATCAGCACAAGAGTATTTTATGTATTTTATGCTTTAGCTTTATTGCTATTGTTATTTTTTTATTTCATAATCTTTGTTTCAGTCTTAAAACTGTTTAATTCCAGTTTAGATTCCCAGATTTTTCATGTGGAACCAAATTTCTAGACCCAAATGTAGATCAACCCGTTTTACTGGTAATTGCATGTAGTCATAAATAGTACATTTGTTTTCTTTTGTAATATTGTGCACAAGATGTTTGTTTACACATAATGTTTTAGGGGTGCTCCGATCAGGATTTTTGAGGCCAATCGCCGATCACAGAAAGCAGTATCTGCCGATACCGATCTTTTTAAAGCCTTCTTTTTATAATTTATAACTATTTATAGTGATACTCCAATCAGGATTTTTAGACATTTATTCAGGGCCTGAATTTCATTTTTGAAAATGGGGGGAATTCCCCTCCTAGGTGACTCTTTTGAGAGGGGAAACAGCTTTCACACAGGAGTCCGCTACTGATCAGGGCTCTACAGTGCGACCATTTCAGTAGCATTTGCGACTGAAAACTACTGCGTGCGACTATGAAATAATATTTAGGAGCACCTGTGCGACTGACCCGATCATCATATTTGTGTTTGTGCTGAGGGAGCTTCAAAGGTTCTAACATACTTACTGTGTTTCTGCAGCGTTGAGTAATGTATCACAGACGTATCCTCTCATTATAACAAACAAAGTGTAGACAGGGTGTAAATAAGAAATTCATTGTGCAGTGTAGGGAGCTTCGTCGATTATAATGGAGTTTTGTGAGATCGCGATGAACTAAGATGAGTGACAGCTTTTAATGATTATTAAGGGAGTTTGCAAATGTGACATTGATTTAATACAACAGTTCATTAAACAAGACGTTAATATTAAGTGACTTATATTGTCTGACAACAACACAATTGCCTTATTTTGCACTATTTTGTCAACGAAAATAGTTAAAAAAAAAAAGTAACAGCTGAGCTGCTGCGCATCTCCATTCAAACACAGCGGTGATTCGTTTATGAATTAAAGGGATAGTTAACCCAAAAATTAAAATTTGATGTTTATCTGCTTACCCCCAGGGCATCCAAGATGTAGGTGACTCTGTTTCTTCAGTAGAACACAAACGAAGATTTTTAACTCATACCGTTTCAGTCTGTCTGTCATATAATGGAAGTCAAGCGCCGGAAGTGATCTCTCGCGTGTATGCGTCACTCATTGTTTACACAGTGAACAGTCGTTGTAGGTACGACGGCTAATCAAAATGGTACTTACTTGCGCTTATCCGGATTGTTCAAACCGACTTAAAACTAAAAGATCACGTTCTCTCGCGCGAACTTATTCGGGAGTGGTGACTTTCCACGTATTCCCAACTTCTGAGCCTG